TCAAAGTTCGTTTCACGCACTTGTATTGCACACAAGAAACAAAATATAAGTAGTTTACTGTTGTCTTTTTAAATACATTTATGTGGGGCTCTTTGCGTTGCCCTTGCTATCAGCAGCAAACAATGAACCAACACCTGCGCTGAACTTGTACTCTGGTAAAGAATAACATGGTTTCAACAATGCGGCAAAAGATTGAATAGTTGCCAAATGTACATCGTTGAGAAGAGAGACAAATATCAACCAGCAGGTAACGCGAAAAGCCAGGTACATGATGATAAAATGCAATGCACTAATAATACAATACAGTACAGTGCTTAATTCCACACAACTTCATGGACAGGTTTGCAGGTACAGCTTTTTCGGAACTGGCATATAACGTTTCGACCTCAAGCACACTGCTGCTCTGGAAATTTCTAATGCCTATTTATCATGAGGATCAGGCGCTTGCTGATGAAGACGCATCGCAATATTTTGGCATTTCGTGTTATCCTTACGCCAGTTACCCATACATTTCTTCCACAAAACACGAATGTGACACTGCAGATCCCCAATACTCAGATAGAAGAATACCGGATCCAGTAAGCCTTGTAGCGAGTACAGCACCGAGGCGAATTGGATAAACACCAACAGCTTCGTTCATGGAATAAAGTTAAAGAGTATAAAATAAGCCAACGTGGGAATCCAGCACAGCACAACAACTACGGTGAACAAGGTTAATACAATAAACGGCCGCGACACGGCGTTCTCGCGGTACTTAACCGGTTCTGCATTGGGCGCAACCGGCAAACGCGGTGCCACACCGTCCGTTTTCCCGCGCAAGGCGGCTGAAGCTTTTCTCCTCTGCAACGTTTTCCATAGCAGCACCAGATAACAGACGGGCATGTATACCTTCGGCAGATCGAACACCACCACGGTTGTAAAGGTCGTCCACACGAGCTGTCGTGACGCGTTCAACCAGCAGCCGTTCTCCACGGGGAGGCGGTAATACAGCGCATCCAGTAAAATGCCCGGCAACATAAGAATGTGTACATAAAGGACCGCGCCTAAACAGAACGCAGCCGCCAAGCGGATAGTGTGGTGACTGCGGTAGGACATCGGTCCAAACAAGGCCCATGCGCGACTTAGACTGACCAGCAGATGCAGGTGTACGGTGACGGCGGCGATAACGTAATTGCTGTAGAGGCGCACTGTGCATCCCGCGACGCCCATTGTCCAATGAATATAAGAGAAGGGTATATTTAAGATCTCCAGTGCGCCAGATGAAGACGCAAAGACGATGTTGCTGAACAGAATCGCATTTACGTAAGTGTTAAAAGGAGTTCGTAATTTCTCGTTGTGCATTATCAGGATCAGGACGCCGGTGTTTGTTAAAAGGGTAGCGCTTGTGGCGCTGATCAGCCAGTTTGAGAGAGGCGATTCGATATGGTCGTTACTCGCCGATGAATTGGAAATGGCAGCAGAAATATTCAGAGTGGTATTCAGGAAAAGAAGCATAGTGGTGTTTGCTGTGGTACTTTGTCATAAATAATTTATCGAATACGAAAACGGTGTGTCAATCAGACAAGAGAACTTCGGAAGATTGACCTGATGCACGAGGGTGGCGTTTTAATTATGTACTCGACGTAACTAACGTTGGATGTTTGCAACAGCAAGGCAAGTATTCTTGAACCTTCGTAATAACGTCTTATGACATTTCCGTGTCTTTGACATTTATCCTATTTCTAGCATTTTATGTGGCTAACGTGGATCGAAGTTTTCTGAACCATGATTGGCACGTAACCGATAACAAAAGAATTTTCGGGTATTAAATCGCTGTTTTGCAGGAGAACGAGCGCGTACAGTAGCTACCGGTAGCATTCACGCGATTGTGTATAATTCCGCAGTGACAGCACGTACTACGCACGTTGTGCTTCCGTAATTGCAATTTGCAAACGAACTAGTGGCTGTAAACGCTCCCGTTACAAGAGCGTCTTTCATCCATCGGACACAGAAAGGTTCATCCTGTGTCAGCCAGATGTCGCCAAGCATACTAAGAGCAGATATTGTCGACAGAGCATACTAAGAGCAGATAGCAGATGTTAATCCCGAATGTCGTGAAATGCTCGTAACATGCGGTGGCGCAGCCAAAAAAAATTAAAATGTGGCGTAATCAACCCAGTTGATGTTGCAGCGATACTATTTGAGCTGATGCTCCTTGAGGAAAAAGCTTGTATTTTGCACTGCAGGCGGAAGACAAACTGAACAACGGGAAGTGCTTGGTCTTGGTAAGTTAGCGATGTAACCATATGCTGTACATTGGTTTCCGGCTCAACTTTCAGCGCTTCTGTGTATCAGATAGCTATGGCACAATTTTGATCGCAGTAACGCAGTGTAACGCAGTGTGTAACGCAGTGTTGCGGACGCATTCCTTGGTTTCAGACGAAAAATAACGCGAATGACCAAGTAGGCTACAACAACTGCGATTCTTGTTGGGGAAAAACAGCAAGTCGTCTCGGATTTCGAGCAGAGAAACATCCAGTTACAATTGATTCGGTTGTCCGCCGACCTGTTCAAACAAAAGTGGTACTCCTTTCTTCTCCCAAATAATATATCTGGTGGCAGTATAGTGTCTCCCTGTGCAAGGTTATAAATTAAGTACACACAGTTCTGACTCTATGTCAGTACATTTAATATAATATTATATGTTCATAGATCTTGATGGGAAGTGATTTCCTTATTTTGTACAAAGTAGAGAGCTGAAGGCATGGATATTTGCAGAAAGTTTTTATAAATTATTTATTATAAAATTTCTACTTTTCAGGATGAACTGTTTCCTTAGTACATTACATTGTCTGAAGCTGGTTAAATTGATTATGCGATACCGGATTAAGGAATGACCCTTACATTTGCTTTATTCCTAGCAAATGGGTCATGAATACGGAATGGAGAAACATGCAGACTGCAGAGTGAAGATCATCGCAGAACAGAGACATCTATTCCACACTGAGTGCTTTTTATTCTCTGATTCGAGATAGAAAGCAAGAACACTAAATAACGGCCTGTCTGTCATCCTGTCATCCCTCACCTGTTTTGGTAAAAAAAATGAAAAAATGCAGCCTTTATTGCGATTGAATCCGTACTCCTAACTTCAGCTGAGTTTCTACCCGTTTGCACCCCTCTTGCGAGAAAAAACACCACTGCGGACTCGTAAACAGTTCTATAGTGTACGTTACTGCTTTTGGTGCTCAAAACATTGAACTACACCGATTTAAACTCAAAATGTGCGCGCAATAACCGGCTGCTGTACTATCACCGAAAAAAGTTTAAAAACTCGGACGCGTCAAATAATTCACCTATCTATCCGACTCCGACCAAATTTACCATTATGGTAAATCTATATCTAAAGATCATTCTGAACCATTATGGTGATGATAACTTAAAAAACAAAGATGCAATGAATTTTCGAAAATTTTAAACTCTTATAACTTGGTCAATTTACATCTGACCAGCTTCATTTTGGTTCAGAATGTGTATGGGAATTTACTCCATGTGATGGAGCGATCGAACTTGGAGTCGGATAAAACACCGAATTATTTGCCCCACATTTGCTATTTTGAGAAAACGAATTTTTTGTGAACGGTATAGACTAGGCTGGGCAGCAAACCTATTCTTGGTGCGAGTGCTGCGCATTCTGTTGCCTCTTTGGGTCACGTATTGTTTCAGCTGAGCCTGAGCAGGAATGACTCTCTGACACTGAAGCGCCGGTGGTGAATGGAGATGGAGATGAAAACAGGGCAATAAATTTCATTGTTCTACCTGATCATTTATGATAGCGCGCGTATCTTCTGGTTCTTATACAAACATTTGCTGCCGCTGATAATTTCGTGGCTTGTGGTCAGCAAACTTGCCATCCCGCCAGAACAGAGATGTCTCCTCTTCTGCGCAGTATTAAAACCTTGTAAAAGGTTTCTGCTCGATCATAGTTTTTAAAATAGGTAACGGTGTACAATTTTTTCATAAAAGCTTGATTCACATCAGTAGATAGAGAAATGAATTCTCTATCGATTCCTGTGTAATTTAAAATGGCGTAATGTGAGTAGAAATTCACCTTCAGCAGGCGCGCAAGCCTGCATTTTTGTACATCATTCAAATGCTCTTATAGTTGCAAGTGGGGACAGGCCAATATACGATCATATGCCTATGTCACTTATGTCATTCAAAGTAAATTAAGTTAAAGCTTAAGTTTCCCCGGCTGACCAAAAACCCGCTACCTATCTAACATACAGTACATTTAACGATTAGATGTAATTTTCAAAAATTTTCACTTCATAATACTGAAAAGAAACTCGGGAAAAAAGGAAAGTCAGGGAAACTTATTCATAGCAACGTTAAACTGGCCTCTTCCGTATGCAACGTAAGTTCGTATCTGTACTTGTACGCACTGCTCTCGGAGAAGCGCTCACGCTGCATAGAGAAAACACAACAAAGCCGCAACTCCTCGAAAAATCACTTTATTTCCTTGAAATAAAGACTAGAAAGGTGACAACCAAAACAAATCTAAAGGGAAAAAGGCATGAAATCCGAGAGCTAATGAGGAATCGATGTTGTCGATTCCGATGCTGGCACTCGAGTGGTAAAACACGCTTTAGCGTGTGTGCAGGATGGCAAAAATGGCAAGCCGGGCCATGATGGTGAGGCGTCCGTGCCAATATCCTGTGCACTATGCACAACACTCTGACATGCCACGGGACGGGATGCCGAGGCCCCTTGAGGCTCAAAAACAGGAATGAGAAAAACAAGGAAATGCATGTTAAATGCAACATAATGAGCAGGTTTTATTAAAAAAATTGTGCCAATTATTCCATCACAGGTTAGTGAGAACACACGCTGCAAAATGCGGCGTTTAATTAATCAAGACGAGTTATAACTCGTAACAAAAATCCGGTAAAATTAATCCGGTCGAATCCCATTCCACACGTTTTAATCCGTGTTATTTTGCAGGTTTATTCCGGAGCTTTTCCTCCAACCATACGCATTGTTGCGTCGATCCACGACATATGTACAACTTAGTGCATCTACGGCAATTTTATTCGTTCGATTTATGCAATTAATGCACTACGGCAATTCTGAAACTGATTTGTGCACTGATTTGTGCGTTTTCGTCGATTCATCTCTGTAATGATTGAAATAAATTCAATCTGGTGCACTCGTTGGGCTATTTACGGCGATTAAATATCAGTACATACGTTGTACACTACGGCGATTTTTATTTTAGCATTTAATGCTTTTTACGGCTTCTGTACCTGCGGTTCCGCATTCAATACATTAAGAGCATCGCTCAGTACGGCGGACGTAGCTTTAGCTTCGCCGCTATCCTCACACATATCAACATCCACCTCAGCTGCGGGGATGAGAAAATACAACGGCTCATCGTCGTTGTCAGGAATCGTGACAACACAAATGTCCAATTCCAGAAGAGTCCTATCCGGGTTATCGGCGGCTATCAATTCCCGCTGTTTTTCCCGCAAAGCTTGCCGGGACGGGAAGAGAAAATTATTCTCTAGCGACGGCTTCTCGTCCGTCTCCATCGCAGCTTTCTGCTCCGTTATCTCAGGAGTTTCCTGAATTGTCAGTAATTCTACTGACGTGGTTACTTCATTCTGCGGCGTTCCGCTTGTCGATGCTGGTGTATTCGCAGTAACTACTGCCGGTACGGCGATTACGGTATCAGTTGCTGGTACAGTCTTTACTGTACTGTCCGATACAACTGGCACAGCGTTAGCTGTCTTCGGCGTTTCTTCGCTTCTTACAGTGTCAATCGACACTATCGGTTTCTTCAGTCCAGGCTGGACTGTTTTACTGGTTGACGGAGTGTCAGGGGAATTTGGAGCGACTTTGCGCTTTCCCTGATTCTGACGTTCGGCGAATCGCTTAATGAGATCATAGATCCCGTCGTAGTGTCCATTATGGGTCGATTCGGTTTTCAGTCCATCAACTTGCATCACATGCAGCAGATCGTTGAGGACTTTTGCCTGTTGCTCCTCATTAAGAGGCTCCCCCATACGATTAACGTAACTCTTTAATCGGCGATTCTGCTCAGCCTGACGATATGTCCGGGCATAATGATGAGCGTGGCAATTGCCCATTAACGCGGACAGGATGACTAAGATATATTTCTTTAGTCCCCATCCGATAGGAATCGTGTCCCATGTGATTTTCATGGGTGCTACTTTACGTTGCATAGCGCAAGCGGCACGGCAGAAAAACCAGAACTTAGCTGGGTCCGTGTCCGGTAATATAAACTGAAGGAGGAATTCCTCCGGCTCTTCGGTGAATAGGATTTTAAATTGGGAAATTAATTCCCAGTCAACAACAATGATCTCAATTAGTTTTTCCTTTAGCTGGGAAATATCCAGCGCGCTACGGAGTCCATAACGACGCGGCGTTTCATATCGCCTAATTTCCATCTGGCGGAACAGATCAATTTTATACATATTGATCGAGTTCTTGATACGAATATCGTATCCAATAATACGCAACAGATCCAGAGTATCTGTTATGGCCTTGCCAATTTCGGTTCTCTGTTCAGCATTAACAGTGCTAATTACTGACACAACGCGATCAATATACTGATCTAGGTCCCGACGAATAACGTCGATATCGCGGCGGATATACTGGGGATGCGTCTGACGCTCGGGCATCAATAGTACAGATGCGTCCGGTTTATACGGTGTTGGTTTATCGCGCGTTGCGCGGACATTCCAGTTCGGCGTTTTCTTCCTCTGAAATTTAACAGCTGCATTCAGCTTACCAGGCATTATATCGCCTTCTACGAACGAGTTATCTGGGGTTTTCCCCACGGTCGGTGAATTATACGTAATCTTCTGCCGAGTTTTACCACTAGCATTGCTAGTATTGCTAGAATAACTAGCGCCTGAGTTCGGCTCAGAATCGAAAACTGGTTCACTTACAGACGCAGGCTGCACTCGCAGCAGTTGTAAAGGCGGTTGCTGATTCGCTGGCGGCTACTGGTCAGCGGCGGAAGATTCGCTAACAGCGGATTAACTTGCCGCTGTTGTGGCTCTTTCGGTGCTGTTCCAGCCGGCCATGGACACGGAGTTATCGTTTTCGTCTCCGGGTCATACTGGTAGCTTCCGCTGGGGAGACTCTGCTGTAGGTGAGCAATATGCTCAGGTGGCAATGAGCCGGGCGGTACTTGCAATGCCATATTCGTATACCGAACTGGCTGTTGCTGTTGCTGCTGATATCCTGCTGGTGGCAGACTTTGCTGCTGGTATGACTGCGGTGAAAACATAACCGACGGCTGCCATTGGCCATATGCTGGCTGTTGAGACGGCATTTGCTGTCCGCCGACATTCGTCGGATAATTCTGTAAATTATGAGAATTATCTCTATTCGATGAGTATTGAATACCCGTATTAACCGGGAATATCTCAAAATTTCCACAGGTACTATTCACTGGAATAGTTACCTGATTCGATGGTGCTGTGATGCATTGCATCAAATTAGCGGTGTTCCGTCCGAAATTCTCCGGATGGGTCGCACACGACCATTCATCGGCTTGATCGCTGATAAACTTAACGGCACTCTTGTGGATGCCATTATAGTAATATGGCGTGGCACAGACAATCGTCCAATACTCCGGCAGCGTTATGGTGCGGTACGCATCCAGGCTGCGCATGAGTACTTCGTCAAATAATCGGGAAACAACAACTTGCGGATTATCCGATCGGTAGTTGGGTCCCAGCGTGCATTCCACGCATTTACGGTTATTCGTGTTATTTAAACAGCGATTGCAGGAGCGCATTGGCGCATAGGCGTACGGTAATTCCTCCATCTCTGCAAATAATTTAAAATAATTAAATTATGCAGTATTTACGGCGTTTTAATATTACTGCGTAGTATACGCATCTAACCACCTCGGAGATACTGTATTAATTAAATTGAATTAATTTTCTTCCTCGCTAACGTGGTCTAACACCACGGATAAAACCATCCCACGATGTGGGTCATTCAGCCCGATTATTCTCGGGTCGCTAATTAAGCGACTTATCGCTAGAGTAACGGCATCATCTACTGAATTGGCTATTGCCGGACAAACGGTTCTAATGTACTGGATGATTTCATCCGGTGATGAACCAGCAGGGTCACCGATTTCCCCAATTGTCTTTACGACAATTTCATCCCACTGTTTTAATTTATCGAACTGCACGTTCTGTAAGAACGAGAGTCCTTTGCGCCCGAAGCGGTATGACGGTGAAGTTTCGCCGTCGTAGCGGCGTGTGATTTGGGCGTCCTCGTACATTGTACGAATCATAGACTGCACCGCATAAGGCGGATAAGTACCAAAATATTCATTAATTCGCTGGGCTATGGGGTTTTCCCCTCTCTGTTCGATCTTATAGATGGCGACTGCCAGTTCGTGACGCGACGGTTGGGCCAACAAATTTCTCGGCTCATCCACTGCTATGGGCTTTTGTGCGAATGGAAGTCGTTTGGCCGGAGAATATGGGACTTCCTCGATGTGCTGATCAGTTAATTCAGCTATCCTTTTTCGGTTTGTATCCGCCAGGGCGTATCGCCCACTATTACCGGCCAATGCCGCGTCTACGATTATTCCTGTGGCGATTGCCTCATTAACGGCGGTAGTGACATCCGAATAACGCTGCTCGGGATCAACCGAGTCTAACGGCATGTACATATACCTAACAATCTCGTCGATAGTTGATCCACGAACATTGTGGATGTCTCTGATAGCAATTGCTACCGCTTCTACCATCTCTTGCATATTGGTAACTCTCATTTCGGCATATCTGCCCTTACGGCTTGCAGTTATTGCATATTTCATCGTCGGTGACCAGTTTTCGTAAACTTCCACCAACGTCCCGCGTTCTGAGGCTACTTGCACAATAAGTGCATATTCCTCGGTATCAATATACTGAGGAGCTCTAATCTGCCTGTACTTTTGTAACAGGTAAGCTGGCGCTGCCATCATATCCTTTTTCCGTACATTATTAATAATGTCCAAAATCACGCTCGTGACTTCAGCGATTTTATCGCTAGACACCGATGGAAGAGGTTTTCCAGTCTTTACTGGCGGCGAGGGACTTGGTGTGGGCGGCGATCCGCCTGGTTTTGGTTCCGGAATTTCCGGAGACTGTTTTCGCCCGTTAGATTCACTGGAAGTTCTAGCGGGACCTACTTCGCTGCCTCTTTGGGCAATATCACTTCGCTGCTCATCTATAACCAGCTGCGGCTGTTCATCGTCGTCAGACGACGATGGCTGATGTCTCAGCTTCTCCCTCACTTGAACAACTCTTCGAGATATCTCCTCTCTGTCTTCCTCCAGTTTACGCTTTTTATCCTCCTCTCCCGGCGAGGGCGTGCTTTGCACGCGATAAGGGCGCGTCTTACTGGATATGGCACTAATGCTAACGGCTGGTGACGGTGTTCGCGATCCCGATAATTTCGGGATAATGTAGCTCTGTTCTTCCTTGATTCGTACTGGGTTCGGGCCCCGTTTGAGAGTCCCAGCCGCTTGCTGGTGTTCGATCGGCGCTTGCACGACTCCCATTGGAGTAGGGAATCTAATTACGGCTGGCTTTAAGCCAGTTTCCTTCCAGAACGCCGGGGGCGGTTGCACTTGCAACTGTGGCCTTATTTGCGTTAAGACTTGTGGTGTATTATACACATGCTGCGGTATCGTAACTACTCGGAGTTCTTTCCCATTAGGGGCGTCTGTTTTCGTCGGGGCAAAGGGACCTTCCATTATGAAGGATTGCCCCAACGCTGCCTATCTCTGGCCTCTTGCTGCTCGTGGTCGGCGATCAGCTTTGCTAATCGTTCGTCGGCGTCTGCCGCCGGTTTCGGTGATCTGTTTCGCTTAGGCTTTGCCTTCAACGCTGTTTCTACTCCTGCTTTTGCAGGCGATTTAATAGGTTTCTTTACAATTGATTCGTACGGCACCTCTTCAACTTCTTTTGAGGCTTCTGCAGCATCACTCTGTGCCTTTGCACGCGCTATCATGGCCTTTGCCACTCTTTCTGCTGGCGGAGTAATATGCAGTTGATCAACTGCGGCTATTTCCTCTGGTTGGGCAGCAGTCGCTGCTAACGAGTGTCTGTAAGATGCCAAGTCGCGTTCCCGATTACTGCGCAACAGTAGCTCATATTCGGCATATGATGCCACTATTACTGGATCAGTTTGCGTGCTACGTGACATAGTCACTGGAATTACTTCTGGTGCCACATTGGGCAAATTACCGGCATTTTGAACGTTCTGGACATTCGGGGCAGCAAATCGCTGCGTCGGGCGATAAGCTTGATTTCCCGCTACGGGTGGGGCGAAGAATCGAGGATTACCTCTGCCAACCGGTCGGTTCGGTCGCTGATCGCGGTCCATTGCGAAAATATCTGCAATGGAAAAAATTACACAATTTAATTGTGAAATTTTTTGATACGGTATTACGGTGTTGAAATAACGCTCGTTATTTTTATTTAAACAGTTAATACTGTTTGACGGTTTTTCACTTTGTGTACTTCGATCCTACTGTTATACGATGAATTTTAACATATCCATTAGCGCTTTTGCGCAACTTTAGCATAAAGCGCTTTCTTGGTACCGGTTTATTAGCGGTATTGCGCTTATTATCGTTGTCGTCGTTATCTACTGTTTCCCACTCTTCTGTATCAGCTACAGGGGAATTACTCGCAGAATTATCTGCAGAGGTACGGACCACATCGTTCGCAGGGTTTCCCTTAATTTATGATTCTCCAACAAGTCCTGAACCAATAAGGTTTCTCTCTTGCGATCTTCTTCGGTGGTTTTGTACGGCTTTAGCCGTTCACAATTACGACTCGTATCTCCTCTGTTTTATCGAAATTTATTCGTTTAATTTCGACGGCATTAGTGTAGGGAAACCCAATGATTTCCCACGGTTCGAGCTCATATTTCCGACGGAATGACTCCGTTTCGCCTTTTTCTTCTCAATTTTCAGCATAACCATGTCACCTATATTATAGGTGTCTTCCGACCGACCTTTGTCGAATCGCTCGGCGTTTTTATCAAATTCATTACGAATATGCAATTCTGCGATATCCTGAGCGCGACTCAAATTATAGCGTAATT